TGTTATCTGGTCACCATGAAACCCAGGTCCTGGTTTTAATGCTAATGAACAACTTCCCCCATAGAAATCCTATAGAGAACTATGACCAATTCAATTTTTTAAACAACGAATCCTGGTGAACAGAAGGTTTGTAAGTAAGTATGCTAACAGGCTGGTTCTCCCCTCCCCACCTGTGCAAATAATCCCCCAGTACTGTGGCCATTCGCAATGGATGCATGAAAGTGCAGTAAGACACTTTGGTGCTATTGGCATTATAAAATTATACCTGTTAGTCCTGCACCAAATCCTCACAGCCTTGTTCCTTTGTAGCTATACCTACACATGCTGCTTGGAGAAGCAGGATGGAATATTAGCCTCACAAGCAATGGTTAAGGATTGTCATCAACAACCCAGGAGAATATACCACATAAGAGGAAGGGAGAGGAAAAAGCACCATCCCCACAGAACACTGTGCTGGGGCAGCATCAGTACTACAAAAGTCTATGGCACCAGGTGAGGACAGCACCACCATATAAACAGGAATAGGTTGGGAGAGAAGCTGCCCTCATTACTTACCAGATTCTCCTGTCTCCAGCTCAGGCACCTTATCAGGCCAACTCGCAACTCCTTTTCTGCTGGATCATTGTGATGCTCCTTCAGGGGCTCCTTCTGATTCACCACATCCTTTCCCTTCCTACACCATACCCCAATCAATATCCTGGGCCTCCGAAACCACCCTCATCCTCTTCCCTGTCCAAGACATCCATTTCAATGGGCCTCAACAATCCTTTTGTTCAGTCCTCATGATCACCCCTTCTCAAATCTCGCAAACCCATTTTCCCCATCCCTTCCTTTTAACCCTATTATCTGCTGCCCCTGAACCCTCTTTCTGCCCAAGCCGCCGCCGCCGCCTTTTTACTTCATAAAAGAGCTAACATAGGGGCAGGAGAACATAAGAACGTCTACACTGAGTCAGCCCAAAAGGTCCATCTAGCCCAGTGTCCTGTCTTCCAACAGCAGGCAATGCCAAGTGCTTCAGAGAGAACGAACAGAACAGATAATCAACTCGTCCATACCCTGGTAACTGTTCCCAGCTTCTGACAAACCAACTGAGAGTAGATACACATCATCCTTGCCCATCCTGGCTAATAGGCATTGATGGATTTATCTAATTTTTCTTTTTAACCCTATTAGAGTCTTGACCTTCGCAATGTCCTCTGGCAAAATGTTCCACATGTTGACACTGTTGTGCCAAGCAATACTTCTGTTAGTTTTAAAGCTGCTACCTATTAATTTCACTTGGTGACTCCTAGTTCTTGTGTTATGAGGAATAAACACCACATTTACTTTTTCAACATACCCATTATGACTGTACAGACCTCGATCTTATCCCTCCTAACCATTTCATTTTCCAAATTAACAAGTCCCAATCTTATTAATCTCTCCCCATATGGAATCCCTAATCACTTTTGCTGCACTTTTCTGTACTTTTTCCAATTCCAATTTATCTTTATGGAGATGGGACAACCAGAGCTGCATGCAGTATTCAAGATCTGGGTGTTCCATGGATTTATATAGTGGCAATGTGATATTGAAAGGAAATAGTCCAACAGCTGGAGAGGGATCTGAAGTTCCTGGGAAAGCTGTGTGTAGTGCACAGAGGATTTCTGCTCATGTACCAAAGAGTACGAGGAGAGCCAGCCAGGAGCAGCAATAGCAGATGCAGAAACTTTCAGGCTGCTAGAAGGACCCTGTGACAGGCCTCAGTTCTACAAGCAAATTATAGTCAAGGATTTAAACATCGATTTAGGCCTATTGTGACTAGTTTAGCCTGGTCCTCTCTGGTCTCTTCCCCTTCAAGTAGAGTGGGGGGGAAAAAGTGCAAATGACTAAAGACTTTTATATACGATGCTGTTCCGTAACATTTGACTGCCCTAATCATCTAAATTTATGCAAAGTATTTTTCTGTTAATTCATGGACTCAGATACTAAGGTCAGAAGAGACCACGGTCATCATCTAGTCTGGCCTCCAGCCCGTAACTGACAACAGAAACGTATCCATCACTCCTTAATAGATTCCTAATCTCTGGCGGAGACTCGAGGAAAATTTCTTCTACACTCTAAAAACGGTGATCAAATCAGGCCTGTTGGCAAGGGGGTGCAAACACACCGCACCGTGGTCCCCCAAGCAAGTGTGCTCTAGTGGACTGAGGGAAGGCAGGAACAGCGCAGAGCCTTCCTCCCTCATGCTCCGGCCAGCCAGGGGAAGGCTGGGGCTAAGTCCCCGCCCTCCCCCCCCCCACACCAGGAACGAGGCCTCATGTACACCTAGCCTCATTCCACTTAACCTGCCTCCCATCTCACATTCCCCTGTTTGTGCCTGTTCCTCCCACACTCACTCACTCTCCTGCCCTCTCACTCCTTAACACTGCTCTTCTCTTTCACCTCTGCAATTAACTAGCACAACCAGATTGCAAGTATGAAAAACTGCAACTTGGGGGGAGTGAAAGGTAAAGGTACACAAAACAGTCCCAATAATTTTGGGATGTCAGGTCACCCTACTTTATATACATCCCTTAATCCTTCTCCACCCACCCTTATTTACTCATCCACCTTTCCCTTCTGCCCCTCAGACATTCCCTTCTCACACATTTACTCACCCCTTTATCCTGACACACATAATTCTGCCTACATCTTAACCCAGACCCTCTCTCACATCCCTTTACTTACCCTTTAACATTGCCTCTCTCATGTACCTACTCTCCTCAACTCTGCTCCCTAATCACACATACACATATCTGTTAACACTGCCCTTTTATTCACTCTCACACACAACCAGGTTAGCTTCTCTAGCTGCCCACCACATACTGAAAGTACAGCAGGAGTAGGCTGTAGGATGGGGTTAGGCCTCACTCCTGGGGGAGGAAGGGAAAATTAGCCCCAGCCTTTGGCTGGCTGGAGCATGTGGGAGGAAGGCTCAGGTAGCAGCACGCCACTCCTGCCTTCCCTCAGCTGGCCGGAGCACGCTTACTTGGGGGATCATGGGAGGGAGGTGCATTCACACCCTTGTGGTCCACATTTACAAAAAAATACACAAACCCCCACAGAAATTCCTGCAAACAAGCCTGCAAATATATACTGAGCATTTCGGCAACTCATCTGCCAGATATCTGGGAAAGAATTCTCTAATAACTCAGAGCCCTCCCCATCCCATGTCCCATTACTGGCCATCGGGGGTATTTGCTACTACAACTTACAGATTGGCTACATGCCATTGTACATAGTTCCATCATACATCTCCACCATAAACTTATCAAGCTTAATACTGAAGCCAATTAGATTTTTTTGCCCTCACTACTCCCTTTGGAAGTCTGTTCTAGAATTTCACTCCCTGATAGTTAGACATCCTCTAATTTCAAGCCAAAACTTTTTGATGATTAATATATATCCATTTGTTCTTGTGTCAGTATTGGCACTTGACTTAAACTTACCTTCCCCTCCCTAATATTCACCCCACCAAAGCATTTATAGAGAGCAATCATATTTCCCCTCAGTCTCATTGTTTCCTGTCATATTTATGAAGAGGCTTTGAGAAAGAAATGCATGTAGAGAATCCAATTTTTATCTGAAGGTATCAACTTCCATCCTCTTGCCTAGAAAAGGAAGATTTAATTGTTGAGATGGCTCCTCAAACCATTCACAGATGTAGAAGTTTTTAGCAATAGTAAATATGTAATTTTGGCAAAACCTGAAATGCCACTATATTGAAGAAAAATAATAAATGAATGCTATAGTCAGTTGCCTGAAACTCGTGTGTGTCTAGTGAGGAGAACAGAAGTGGTCACATAGTGCATACAGTTTAACAGATTTCTTCTGGCGTTCCTGTTGCTTATCTTCTGATAAATTACTTGTCATTTATGAGACTCATATTTAATGTCAGTATGATAAAGAGCTTTAACATGCACTAGCCTTGTCGTCCCCATTACCTTGGGGTACTTACATTACATACTAAATGTATAAAGTGAAAATGACCAGGAACACAAGGATGGCGCAGTATAGGCAAGTTTCCAACTTCAATGTGATCAGGAATTTCTAAAGGAAAACTTTTCTTTAAGACGATTACATAGGCAATTATTTGGGTCAAGAACCAAACAGAAGTAGAGGAAAATATCAGTGAAGCTAGAACGTTGGTGTAGAAAGAAAGAAAACCAGCACTTGGTAAAATGGAAAAAATTACTGCCTACATTTGAGCCTGTTTTTCAAGTACAGTTTAAAAAAAATTCCAAGGCCAAAAATTCGCATAAAAGGTTACCTCTCCTTTATGAAAGGATATGTTCCCTGAATCCTCACACTGCTGTAGCTGTGGCCTCTCTTTCCATACATCACTCTCACCCTCTCCTTATCCTATCTAAGATTCAGACCCCAGTCAGATGAAGAAACATTTTTGGGTCTTTGACATGGTTTTTGCTGCCCTTTGATATGGTACTGCCCAAGTCTTGACTTTAGCCCTCCCATCCCTCACCCCTTTTGAGATGCAACCCATCAAACTAGAGCAAAAATTCTTGTGGGCCAAATCCTACATATCTTTGCACCTGTCCAAATCATATGTATCTTTGCACCTGTCGAGGACCATGCAATATGACTGGTCACAATATGTTTCTTTTTTTTCCTTGGGCACTTTGGGTCTTGAGCAAAAGAATTGAGAGCCACTCTTTGGCATAGTACATATTCCACCAGAGCACTCTAATGCAGCAGCAATTCAGAGATAGTTCCTGAACGATCAATAGCCTGGTGGCCCCAACAAAGCTTTTCAGCAAAGCTTCCAACTACCCTTAATGAATTGATGCAGTCAGATCACTACATTTTGAAAAAGAGCGTGAAAGGGAAAAAAAAGCTATCACATTTAAATCTGGAGTGAGTGAAACAGCACATAGCAAGAGGTAAGCCAGTAGTGTCCCTGTGCATGCATGATGATATTGTAAATATTAAACAAGAAATTTTTTACTAAAATAAATTCAAACAATCATCTTTATTTTTCAGAAAATTCAACCTATGCACCATTCATGGACCTTGATATTTTGAAATGCAGGAAAGAGAAGAAAATACCGGATAAATGCCGCATCAGAAAATTTATTTACAAATATTCTGGAATTCAACAGAAAAATTATCCATTTTCTGAATCAACTTATCAGGGTAAGTGATAGTTGTATTTTTCAATAATAAAAGAGAAAATAGACCCCTTTCCTCCAAACAGTTTCCATTGTTCTTCTGCAGAACATTATACCATTACCACTATGCTATACTTTGTATTTTACTTTCAAAAACAAACAGTTTTAGAAATCAGAATACAGAAATCAAACATTTTGGTGTACATTTTAATGCAGCTTATATTATTTTAGGAGAAGTCACTTTGTAGTATGTGTCAAATAAAGACAGCAATTACAAATACATATTTATATTAACTATTTCAATAGGGCTCATTTAAGAGCATAAAAAACAAAATACCCTCTTCATATACCACTGGAAACTCTGCTAGCTGATTATTAGCCTCAGAATTGTTTTCATGTTATTACTGATAAATGTTTGTTCTCCCTTGTGCTTTTAAGTACAGTGAACTCAAAAAGTGAATGTGGTTCCCTCCTCTCTTTCCCCCCCGCCCCAAGAGATTTCCTTCTTGTGATTACAGTCTCATAAATAACTAAAAAATACAGTTGAATGAAGAATACAATATATTTTCTACATAATCTAGACAAGCAAAAAAAAGTTACCCTGAAAAAACACAAACAAAATACATATTTATAGATCTACATCACCAGCAACCACCTCTTCTTTTATCTGCAACAATGGTTTCATATGTTCAGTTGTTTCACATGGAGGTTGGTTGTCCAGCTGTTGGGGTCAGGGAGAAATGGAAAAAAGGTTTTAATTCAGGAAGAGTTTTTTGGATATGTAGTGTTTTACTAATTGTAAGATTTGGAGTCCAAAACGGCCTGACTACATAATATCTTTAATCAATATCTGTTTGCAATATCCTTCTGGGTATTGCAAACTCAAAAGGCAATTAATGTAGAATCTAAATACAAGATAGAATCAACATGCAAACTATAACAGCAACCAACACTGGTTATACTGCATAAATCTTGGTTTGACATTTAAAACAAATGGACTTGCAATGGTGCATACAATCTACCCAAAGCTCTTGCTTTAAAACATTCACAGTCCCATTTTTTTTTGGGGGGGGGGGGGGGGAAGAGGGAGGCAGAGGTTGCAATTAGAGATGAGCAAGTTTTGTTTTGATTGCCAAATAAATGTTTGCTAGATTGTTAACCTTTTAAAAAAATCACGAATTGTTTCAATTAATATGTCAAGTATCCATCCAATACTCTGCACTTTTGCAATATTTTAAAATGTTTCATTTAAAATCAGCACTAACCAGAAAGGATGATCAACTGCTCTGTATAATATATTTAAATGACACTATTATAATAATGCTATACAGTAACGCCTCACTTAGCACGGTCCCGGTTAACCTTATTTCATTGCTTATCTATTAGGTCACATGCACATTTAAAGCTGTGAGATACTCCCTTAACATTTTCTAGCCTCTTGCTTTTCCCAGAAATTCCTGCAAGTAGTGGACAAAGTTGCCTGTCTTCATGGGGGCTTGGAACCAGAAAGGGTCAGCAGCTTCCTGAAGTTCCCTGCAAAGTACTGTATGTAGCTGCCAGCAGCAATTCTGCTGCCCCTTTCCTCTGCCTTGGAGCTGCTTCCTGTGCGGGGGCAGGGGGAAGTGAGAGGGGGAGAAGGGAGAGATGGGTGCTAACATCAAGATGTTTCCCCTCCCCACAACCTCCCAACTCCATACCCCATCTTCACAAAGCAGGTCTCCCTCCTGCCTTAATCCATGCTGCCTTGTAGAGTGTGAGGCTCATTAACACGTTAACCCTTGAGGGCTCAGCCAAGAGCTAGTTCTTCATTTAGCATCAAAATATACCCTGTGAAATATTCCACCCTATGACTCTCTGCAACCTCAACCAAGCTTTACAGTCATCACTGTTGTGTCCAGTATTAAATTGTTTGTTTAAAACTTTTACTGTATGTGCCCGCACAGTCATAACTGCTGAAAAAAATTCCCTTGAACTTAACCCTCCCTATTTACATTAATTCTAAAGAGGATATTGGATTCACTTATTTCGATTCAAGTTGCATTTTTCAAGAATGTAACTAAAATGTTAAGCAAGGAGTTACTGTAAATTACCAACCTAAAATCCTTAACATTTCTTCTATTTGAGGTCACTGTAAGCATAACTGGAAGTTTCGCAAATACAGGTTGTGACAAGAGATATGGAAGAGTCATATCAATCTGAGAGTCAAAGCCCTTTTATAAGAATGCACTATTAACAGCACTCTCAGTGAAAGGGGTCTAGCTCAAATGCTTCCATTCATCGCAACTGCTATAGTAACATACTGAGGGAAAGGCAGCTTCTTAACTATCCAAGTCCAGACAACTGGATAGGTCAAAAATCAAGATTCCATCCACATGGAAGCCAACTGGTTTCCATTGGTCTCAAGAGCATAATAATTTTAAGTAATCACACAGCCACATTATCTGCTATTCATTTAATTCCACTGATGGGGTCGAAAAGTGATGAAAATATATAGAATGCAGAGCCCTCACAGTGGTTTAACACGGCCACTGAACTGAAGTTAGAATCCTACAGAAAATTACATATGAGCTCACTTGCCCCCAAACTACCCTCTCAGTTCTTTAAGAAGGGTGGAGAGGAAGGCCATTCTAGAATAATTCCATCCAGGGAGGACTACACATCACCACAGCTTTATAGACCAAAATATTACAGGCAGCTCTAAGATTTAAAAATTAGCTTCATCCTCTTCCACAATATACAATTTTCAACCACCACCACAACTCAAAAACACTGGCTACCTATAGTCAAGAAAATCTGTGGATTCCAAATGTCAGAGTTATATCAGTTACACAGCAATTTTCCCAAGAGAGGGCAAGTGATCAAAGGAAGTCAGAAAGAGTATATGTTGCAAGAAATGGTTTCTTTAGTAGAGGCACCACAATTGTTTTTATCTAAGAAAGTAACATCATCCCTTTACATTTTCGAAACACGCACAAAAAAACCCCCACTCTCAATCTGAAAAGGGTGACTAACAAGGGAACCAGTATTTTCTTCTTCCTGCGAGAACTACCCCATCCAGAGAAGTCCTTGGGGTCCTGTTCATAGTTTGCAAGTCCAGCATATCCCCATTGATTTCCAAAACCTCAGTGAGCCATATAGACCAAAGTTCAAATGGAAAAGCTGGAGTGTATGTCCCTCTCTCATTCATTCTTAGAAACTCTTACAATCCCTGTCACAATTATTAATTTAAAAGAAGTTTGGGCTTGCCACAAATTACAGGTTGGATACCTCCCTGATTCAGCACCCTTGGGACCTGGCAGGTCCTGGATGAGGGATTTTGCTGGACTAGGAGATGTTGTTTCTGGACCCTTATTTGCTGCCCGCACTCCCCAGCCCACTGGCCTTCCAGCTGGCTCCTCACCTCCTGCTGGGCAGCTGCCCATACCGTGCTGGGGCTTTGGGTCCTGCTAAGCAGCTGCGCGCTGCGGCGCTCTGCCCCACTGAGCTCTCTCAGCCCCACCAGGCAGCCATGTGTAGGTCTCCCAACCTCCATGGACAGATTGGCTGCCATGCGCTGACGGCAGGCTTGCTGCAGGCACCTGCTGCCCTGCCAGCTCCACAAGATTCTTTGCCACTGACCCACCAGCAGGACTCTGTGGTCCTGCAACATCCGACTGGACCATGGATGTTGCCAGACCAGGCAATCCTGGTTAACCTGTAGCTATATAGGAACCACTGGACAGAGAACTCACCTAATAATTAAGATGTTATCTAGCAATTTCTGCAGCGGCATAAATATTTTTTTTCTTTTTCCTAAGTGCCAGCACCAATCTCACTACATTCAACATGGATTCACCAAGGGCTGGCTAGATTGTCGGGCCCAATGCGTAGTGATCACAGGCTCAAAGTTTGGTTGGCAGTTGGTATCAAGTGGAGTGCCCCAGGGGTTGGGTCTGGGACTGGTTTTGTTCAACATTTTTATGAATGAGCTACGAGTGGATGGATTGCACCTGCAGCAAGTATGAAGATAAGATAGGGGTAGAGGTAGATATGCTGGAGAGTAGGGATAGGGACCAGAGTGACCTAGACATATTGGAGGATTAGTCCAAAAGAAATCTGATGAGGCTCAACAAGGACAAGTGCACAGTCCTGCACTTGGGATGGAAGAACCCCAAACACTGTTACAGGCTGGGAACCGACTGACTAGGCAGCAGTTTGGCAGAATAAGAACGGGAATTTATAGTGAATAAGAAGCTGGATATGAATCAACAGCATGCCCTTGTAGTCAAGAATGCTAACGGCATATTACCGTGCTTTAGGAGGAGCATTGCCAACAGATCTAGGAAAGTGATAATTCCCCTTTGTCTGTCACGGGGGAGGCCACATCTGGAGTACTGCATCCAATTCTGGGCTCCCCAACTACAGAAAGTATGTGGACACCTTGGAGAGGGTCCAGCAGAGGGCAACCAAAATGTTTAGCGGGCTGGAGCACATGACTTATGTGGAGCGGCTGAGCGATTTGGGCTTATTTAGTCTGCAGAAGAGAAAAATGAGAGGGAATTTGATAACGGTCTTCAACTACCTGAAGGGAGGTTTCAAAGAGGATGGAGAGAGGCTGTTCTCAGTAATGAACAGATGACAGAATGAGGAGCAATAGTCTAAAGTTGCAGAGGGGGAGGTCTACTTTGGATATTAGGAAAAACTATTTCATTAGGAGGGTAGTGAAGTACTGGAACAGGTTACCTAGGGAGGTAGTGGAATCTCCATCCTAGAGGTTTTTCAGTTCCAGTTTGACAAAGTCCTGGCTGGGATGATTTAGATGGGGATGGGCCTGCTTTGGGCAGTGGGCTGGACTTGATGACCTCCTGAGGTCTCTTTCAGCCCTAGGATTCTATGATTCTAAGTTTTGTGAAAGGTAATACAAAAAAATGTAGACTGCATCCTTTAAAACTTGAAAGCAAATCAATCAACTGTTGATCTAATGCACCCAAATGAATAAACAATCATGAGGCTATAATTCAAATAGTAGTAGTTTGAGATAGTAACCAACAGCCTATAGTTAGGATCTACTCAAAAAAATGAACAGATCAGTTGTGCAAGTCAGTGAGATTTTGCAGCGTGACAGACTTGTTATTCAGTGAGAAATGATGACATTATGGATATGCCTACACTGCCACCGATGCCGTTATGCAACCATCCTGCAGTCAACAATAGTGAAGCCACAGAAGCAAGGGCTGTACCTAGCCTGTGATTCTGTGAGTTCACGTCCATTTAATTAAGCTAGCTAGGTCAAAGATAGCTTAGATGTGTCTATATATACTGCAGTCACACCTTGGAGTTGAGAGAAACCAAACCCTAAGGTGGCACTTTCTCTGATTTGCAAAGAATGAAGCATATCCATAATAATGGGATGGTAAACCATTGCACAGTATGGTAAAGGGAGTGGAGAATACAGCCCATGAAGACAAATTGAAATGAAAGCTTTAGGAATCAATTCATTAATATGGCAAGTTGGTGACTAAACATAGTCTTTGGTAAGTACAGCAATAGGCAAATTCTTAGGGCCCCAGAACAAAAGTAGAAAATAAAGTTCACACACTTATTATAGGCTGGTCTCCTTACTTTTAAATCTGACATAGCAGTCATTGCAGAAGAGCTCATTGTTTCGGATCCTGACTTCAGCTCCTGACTGTGAGCCCCCAAGGTCACGTTCACAAGCCACGCACTGTAACATACACCAATAATTAGTAACTTGTGACAAATATACATGTTCAGAAGCAGCATACAGTATAAGCCAGCAAAGCCTAAATCATAAACCCACATTAGCAAAAGCAAATATAGGATTAGTAGATTAAAATGAAGCCAACAAGATGAGACATCATTTAAAGATGATGATTGGTGAACTAATAGCAGACGCGCACATTCTAAGCACATAAAAGCTGAAATGATTCAGAGATTAGTTCATGAAATCTTGTTTAAGCTTCAATGTCTCAAACAAAATTTTAAAAATGGCACAGCATGAAATAACTTGTTCTTGAAATGGTGACAGCAATTTTGGCACAGAATATTTGGGTGTGCCACTTGGAGATTCCATGCAACGCTATCTGCTTTTCATTCTGACAGCTTACTTTTCAAGACAGGAATGCATCGAATTATTCTAACTGTTTATAATTTTAAAAAATACTTGCCACCTTTCTTATGCTAGTATTAAAATGTTTAAGCATAGTGGGTGAACAATGCATTACTATACTGAGAACTAATCAATAACTCTTGACTCTCCAAGCAGGCAAAGTACATTCAAGCAGATATAAGCTGCATGGTGTCTGGGTCGACTGTTTGTATTATCATTTATAATATTTGCCTATTGGGTTTAGACAATAACATGTCTTCAAGAAGGTCAGCTTTAGCAGCCTTTGTGGAAAACACTACATTATGATGGCACCAAGGAAGGATATCAGGAGAAAAAAAGATTCAAGAATTAAGATTTATTCAGTCAGCTGTTCCATAGGTCCTCACACATTCATAAAAGCCCACAACATCTAAAATAAGAAGTTAAACACTGCAGTACTTTGTTCAATGGTGCATTAATCCTAAAAATATTTCCTTAGGGGAAGTTATGATCTCTCCCAATGTGCCAATGCAGGCGAGTGCAAAGGGGTAACTGCTCTGTGTTGACTATCTATGTAACAGGAAATAACAGACGAAAAGCAGGGGAGTGAAGCTTGCACAGATTATTATTCTTTCCTTCTATGCAGGTGTACAGAAGTCGGATGAGCCCTAGGTATTTCTCCTACAAAATGCCACCCAATACAGCTGACACAGATTACATCTTTCCTTCAGCCTGTGGGAAACCAAGGACCAGAGACACTCAAGTCATTACCTCATTTCTCATCTACTCCTGGAGCAATGCAATTATGTGTTGTCCCCTACTAAAGGGTTAATGGCAAAGTGGCCAGTGATTTTAGCTGTCTCACTTTTTAGATGCCCAACTTGACACATCATAAAGTGTCTTGGTTTTCAAAGGGCAGGTGGCTCAGCATTTTTTCAAAATGTCTTTAAAAAAAAAAGAAAAATCAGAGTATATATAATAGAGGACTAGTATTATAGTGAATGCCTAATGCCCGTGGATGGGACTGTTGCACGGATATATGCATGTAGCACACAATATGAGCAGAGCATGTAGCACATGATTAGTAGAGTCTTAGCAACCAGAATTCCAAGTAGCCATGCATGCTCCAAGTTAGCTCCCATTTCTTCATGGTGTTTCTCCAGCTCTCTCACCTTAAAACAACGTAAATGATAACAAAGACCAAGAGATTCGATGATCATGGCTGCTCCTTTGCCCAAAACGTTATTACAGTATGAACATACTCTCTTCCCACTGACTGACCTAAATACAGAACAAGAATGTGGCATGATGCCATGAGAGAAAGCACTGAAACAGAGGACCACATGTTGCAGTAATGAGCAGGAAATTAAGTTATCTGGAATAAAACATCAAAATTAATATTCTGTAATTAAATCTGCAAGCTATAAATATCTAAAACTGAAATGAGAAAAATATGAAGAAACTGACAAACTGTGGTAAAGGGAATGCAAGATTTAATGTAGTATTCTGCCTCATTTCTTATCTTCTGACATTTTAGTAAACACCTGAGTCAAATATCACCCTCTGTAGCTTGTTAGATAAATAAAGTCTGATTCTGGACACATATTATATTAACTCCTTTGAACATGTGCCTTATGCAGTCCAATATTGAAGGATCAAGCAGATTTGAAATCCCATAATGAAAGATCAAACAAGAGAAGCAGTCGTTTTCAACAGATCATTTTCTTACCCCCATCCCCCCAAAATTACCCATGACCCTCTCCCCAGCATCTTCCTTGCTGAAGGCTTTACTCCTGGTACCTGTTTACACTTGATCCTCCCAGACCTTTCACTCCAATTGTCCTGATTAGTCTGCCTCCCTTGATTCTGAAAGCCACCTAAATGACTCTAGATGTTTAATTGCCCTAATTGATTCTGTCATGCTCCTGCTGGTTCTGGTTTAGCTCTTGTTAGTTTACCCTTGGCAAACGGACCTATTTAATCCTGGGGTAATACGTTTCCCTTCTACCACTCTCCTGTAGCCGTCCGGCCTGACCCAGAAACTGGGGGAATTGAAGAGATATGTTCAATAAAATATGGGTTCTCTTCAATTTTATGTATTCATTTTTTTTAAACTAAAGATTCTTATTAAACCATAAATGTCAAAGGTGATGTCTGCAAAGCACAAGGAGACTTTTACACTCATTTAGGTAACTCACAAATAATTTTGAATTGCGTAAAGATTTATTGCTTCACTTTCTCTTTACCAGTGTAAACAGAATCCTTAGAAACTTTCTGAACAGCTGTGAGAAACACATAAGTAATAGCACAGTGTTCAGTGTTGCCTTTCAACCAGATAAAATTAATTTGAAAAGTGCTTTGAGTTTAACATTCCAAAAGGTAAGTACAATATAATTATACTATTTCACACACAATCAGACTACAATACTAGAGATCAAGTAGCTTGTTTAAGATCCAAGCAAGACTGTTGCAGAGCTTGTACAAGACTCATTAGATCCACCTCCCCTGTAGTAATTACTATATGAGAGTGCCCACAGTACAGTGAGCTATTTATAAATTTTCAGCAGATGGGCAACTACTTACCTGTTCCGCTGCTGAGCTCCTGACTGGGAAGCAGAGGTAGGAGACTGAGCACGGGGTACAGAAGAAGATGCTGAGGGCAAAGTGTGGGATGAAGTCACTGATCTTCCAGAGCTGGAAGAAGGAGGTCCTGTACTGGAGGAGGGGGTACGCATGTAGGCCCGGTTTGAAGTAGACACTAGTGGAGCAGCAGAGCGACTAAAATCTTGACTAGATGACAAGGATGTGGAAGAAGTAGATTGATTTGTCCAAGGCTGACGTCTCCATGAACTTGTTTTTGAGGAATCAAGATTATCTAAAGATTCACCTCTGAAATGAATAATTGTGACATGCGGAATATTATTGCCCAGAAACATATCCTCTTATGAGCTAACATTTTATCATGATATATATTCTCTCCCTCTCCCTCCCCCGCTCCCCCCAAGATGCTGCAGGATTACTCTTTTTTCAACCTTTTATTCATGCTTTGATTTTAGAAGAAAGAAATGTTTAAGTTTTCACATTATGTAGGATAACAAAACATTCACCCTTTCTATTTTAAAGACTGATATTATAAGCATAATTATTTTGATAACCTGGAAGAATATTGTATTATATTTCTTTTATTAAAATTTTTTGAAGCTGCAAACTGTTGATCATTACCGTGCTTCACCAGTCTTAGAGAGAGCAATGATCAAAAAGGTGACACTAAAGCATTAAAGATAACAGCAGAATACACATCAGTGCTGCTTTATCAGAATGAACCAAATCAAATTGCTTTTATTTAGCAATGACATCAGTTAGTTGTGGTGTTTGTATTTTTTCTTAGGGATACCATCTCTAAAATAGATCAAGCCCTGCCTCCATTGGACAGGCACATTGTCCAGCAATTAACTGTTGTGCCAACAGCTATGAGATCTCATGACTGATAGGAAATAATAAAGTAAGTGACAAACTGAACATTTAGAATCTACACAAGCCTTAAACACAGAAATCCTGAAGTTTCCTACAAGGTATCTGTGTGTTAGAAATACTAAAATGTATTCTTCAGAACCTATATTTAAGCATTATTTTGCAACAAATTACATTACCGAGGTTCTCAAATACATGTGCAAATGACAAAAGCATATTAATTATTAATTCACATTGCAGGTACAAAGGACAAATAAACAACTGAGGAAATATTGACAATGCACACCACCACCTTTATATTCTTGACTTGCTTGTATCATAGCTGAGATCAAATATTTGCAAGTTTTACCCTCATATGTTGTGACAAATTTTTAGAGACTGGATTTACAATCTGTGCTGCAAAGAAACATTCAGAATGCCCCAAAACTAAATATTTATCAAGAGGCAAAGTTCAGTGTACAGTTTTTAACAAGCATCTTACCTCCTCATTGTATTCTTGTTTAGAATAAGGGGGTCCTTATTAACACTAGAACTGCGCTGCCTAATCCAACTGTTGTCTGTATGTAGTGGTGTTTTCTTCCTCATTTCCTGAAGGATATGTTGTCTCTCCATTTCTGCTGAAGACATCGCATGCTCTTTCTGAGACCCCCTCTGTGAATCACTGACATTCCAAGATCTTTCCAAATATTTGTTGTTGGTACCTAGTTTGAAAAATATATAATCTCATGTTTGAAGAAGGTAAAAAGCAAAAGCTAAAATTAAAAAGCAAATTGTAAAACTACAGTTGCCATATGTGAAGCAATATATACACCTTTGTGTTATTAATATTTGATGCAGTGTAATTTCTCCATTTTAGTTTTGGGTCCCATTACAAAAGCAAGTATTACCAGACATGCACATTGGAAACAAAGATTTAACCAGACAAAAAAGGGATAGCTAGTGTCAAACTAGCAGCAAGCTATCAAATATCCAAGTTAAAGCACAGAAGCAAGTATCAGGTATTCTTTACTTTTAAAATATAGTGCCAGAATGAGGTAGGAGTTATTTTGTCTTTCTTCCACTGTCCTCCACAACAACGTAAATATCTCTAAGATGTAGGCTTTTCATGTGAGCATTATCAAATCAAACAAACCATTTAAAAGTGGTAATTTATAATAAAACAAATCAAATACAGACAAGCAAAACTGTTGATCCACCATGGGAAAGTGTCACACTACAATTACCAAATGACTATCCCCAACTCTCTTAGGTTAGAAAGCCAAAACAATCCTCAGCTTAAAGGCTTAACTTCTCTCCTTCTTTGAAAGAGGGGCTTTTCTCCAATAATGAGAAGAAAGCCTGCCAGAATACATAACTGCATTACAAGGTTCGTTTGCCCTTTCAGAAAAAACGGTTACTTACCTTCTAACTATTGCTATTTGAGATGGTTAAGGATGTTAAATATAGACTAAACACTGTAAGGAGCATAGCATCAGGCTGCATTTTAAAGTGGCAGTGCCACATGGAGCCTGGGATCAACTGTGGACTCCCATGCTGATCCCGGGCTCCATGTGGTGCTGCTGCTTTGGAACACTGCAAGGAGCCTGACACCAGGCTTCTTGGGAGGTTTCAAAGAGGCAGCACTACACGGAGTCAGTGGGAGGAGTCCCCAACTGATCCTGGGCTCCACACAGAGCTGCTACTTTGAAATGCCACGTGCAGCCTGGGGACACCCCAGCTGGCCCAGGGCTGCATGCAGTGTTTCAAACAGTGTTTCAAAGCAGCAATGCCGCGTGTAGCCCAGGGTCTGGCCGCAGGCTTCAAGTGGTGCTGCCGCTTTGAAGTACCCTTTTCTCTCCTCCACCCTCATTGTGCCTCCTCCTGAGAGAGGCAGCCGGGGGGGGGGGGGGGGCATTTCTGTGCAGTGCCTGCTTGGCCTGCAGCCATGTACCTTGAGTCCTGAGGACCATGAGGTGTACTCCCTAACCCATATCTGAAGCATCCATCACCTGCTGGACTGACAGGGATGCCTGTGCACACCGCATTCTGCTGCCGCCACCAGTCTTGAGAGGACAGGATCTCTGCAAGTATTGATACCACTATGTCTACTGGCAAGTGAGCTGGGTTGTACACTTGCACCAGTCATGCCTGCAGGGGATGCAGGCATAACCCAGAAAGCTGTACCACATATATGCAGAAGCTTTAGGCGGTAGCCAAGTTAGTCTGTACAGGATAAACTTAAACAACAAGTCTGGTAGCACTTGATAGACTAACAAGACATATAGATAGTATCATGAGCTTTCATAGGCACAGTCCACTTCTTCAGATGACTGGAGTTATATGCATGCAGCCATGTGGCCCAGTAGCTTCATGCAGTTCACCGTTGTCAGAGGCGACACTCGTAGGCCAAGAATAATGTCCCTTATGCCACGAACCTGAGCTTTGGAAGGGAATCCGTTCCCATTGTTGAGTAGAACCTTGCTCCCACAAACTCTGTGGTCTGTGTTGAAATAAGCATGGACTTCTCATTCAACAGGAACCCTAGTCGGGTGTATGTGCCCCTCACCAGTTTTATGTGCTGTAGGACCTGGTCTAGTGAATTTCCCCTGATCAGCCAATCATTTGAGGAGGGGAAAACTTACACTCTCTACTTTCTTAGAAAGGCTGCCACCAACAAGCATTTTGTGAAAACCCTGGGAGCTGTGGACAGGCCAAAGGGGAGGACCGTGAATTGGTGAACTGCTTCTGATCGTGAAGCAGAGAAACTGCCTACATTGAGGAATGATGAAGATGTGGAAATAAGCATCCTCTAAAACAAGGGTGGGGTACCAGTCCCCTAGATTGAAGGAGGGAATAATGGAGGCTAATGTGACCATCCTGAATCTGGTCTTTTTTAAGAAGGTGTTGAGCCCACTGATATCCAGAATGAGGCAAAGGCCCCCTTTGGACTTGGGGATTAAGTAATAACATGAATAAAAATCCTTCCCCCCAAATTCCTGTGGAACCACTTCTACTGCTCTTAATTGCAGAAGCAAAGACCCCTCCTGTTGGAGAGTATTCATGAGAGGAATCCCTGAAGAGGGACTGGTAAAGGAGCAGGGAGGCAAGGAATAGGATACAGTATCCCACTTCCCCTGGGTCCAGGATCCACTGGTTCCACCCTTTTCCCATTCTAGATCTCGCCTGGAGTGAGACCGGCGCGAGAAGATTCTTGACAGGACTGACTACCTCAGACTCCAAAGAGTACTCGGAGACTGATCATGGTGGTGCCACGGATAATGCCAAGAAGCCATGCCAGATCTGATGGCGGACCACAGCCATTGGCTTGCACTGGTACCAGGCAGGGAGTGCTGGCAGCAGCAAGTGCAGCTGAGATGGTCCCGAGGCTGGTGATCGAGGCTGTGCTGTGGATACCTGCGACGTAGAGATTGCTGCTGAAAGTGCTGGTACTGAAGCCAGAGCCAGACATCTCAAGGCTGGAGGTGCCAGTGCCAGCTGGGTCGGAGAAGTAGTTGGGCCCTTCACCAATGAAGACCTTGATGCCACATTCCTTTCCTGAGGTGGCAACGTGCAGGACTCATCCCTACGCGCTACCAGACAGTGTGAGGACGTGGGCGCAATTAGGTCCTGAGCTGTGTCAAAGTTGTCTGGTGTAGATGGTTCCTGGATCTCCTTCATGGACAGGTGCTGTGCCTCTGGATTGCTCACCCACACAGAGCTCGACCAACGACGTGCAGTGGTGAAGATGGAGCCCCAGAATGTCCCACTTGAGAACTCATCCTCTGCTCACACCATCAGGGAGATCTGCCTTTTTGTGCCTTCATTGTCATACATGGTGCCAGCAATGGCGGGTGGTACCGCGGTACCAAGGAGCAGCCTGGTGCAATGGAATGCCTCAGAGTCACTGCTGGTTCACACACTGATGCTGGCGCGCTTCCAACAGACTGGGTCAAGGCCAGTGCCAGGGGCGGCAGTGCCTACTCCGTGAGGAGGAGGAGTTTAAGCTTCAAATCCTTCTTCCTCTTGGTCCTAGACTAAACTGTCAGCTGCAAGATCTGCAGAGTGTTTACGTGCTCTTCCTCCAAGACACTTGAGACAAGTGGGGGTCACCTCAGGGTATGGACTTCAAAAAACAGGAGGCTTGAAGCCATGTGACCCAGGCATTCCCCCCCGGGGAGGGGAAAAGAAACACGGGAAACTCCCACTAAAACTAACTAACTACAACTATCTACTAACTAAATATAGAACTACTTACAGACTACTCACAGGTTGATCACTAAGGGTACATCTTCAAATCTTGCAAGCTGAAAGCATTCCAGCAACTGTTTCAGGTGGTAAGAAGGAACTGAGGGGGTGGAGGGTGAGCAGGGGTATATGTGCTCCATGGCTGGCCTAACAGGTACCGCTGAGGGAAAAAGCTTCGGGAGCTTGTGCACACAGTGCGCGCTCTCCTACATGGAATGGACTTGAGCAAGCACTCGAAGGAGAATTTATAAAATCTCTCCTCTGTTTGTAGCGGTGGAAAGGAGCCTAGAAGGAAGCCCGGAAGCATGGTTGGTGGTCAGCGGCCAGCAGGGGAGCACTGACTTCCCCGGTACAGCAAACTCCCTGGTCCTGGACTGCTCAAGGTCCTAAGGGCACAGGATCAGGGAGGTCCAACTTGTACAGAAAATGCATTAACATTTTTCTTTAGCCATTGTATAGATTATGATTACAATAGAACTGTAATCCATACAAGTATAAAAGAAATGTGAACTCTTTTGAACTAAAGTATACCTTACAAAAAGCATCCATTTTGAATTTAAAGACACTTTTGGATAATTCACCACATCCTTTAGATCATATGTTCCTATGGTTAATTTTCCACCCTACTAAAAAACTGATATAATATGCTGTATAGCTGAATTATAAGTAGCAATCAAAATGTAATTATTTTTGACCTTCAAATATCTTCTTGTTGTAAACTACCCTTTGATTGTGTTCATAATTTTCATGCAGTTAATCATCAATTTAGAAAGATCTAATTGCAATTAAAGTGCTCACCATTTCGACTTTTCGGGTAATCATCCAGTTCTGAAGTTGATCGAGATTTATTTCTATAAAACCAGAAAAATGTACATTATTTGTATTGCCATAGCACCCAAGAGCCCTTACCATGGCACAGCACACTGTTGGGCCAGGCACTCCATCAACCCAAACCAAAAAGATAGCCCTACCCGAAAAAGTTTACAATACAAAACAAGATATAACAGATGGAAAGACAGACACAGCCAAGTACAAGGAAATAATAAGGTAACACTAAGTTAGCACTGACAGGCTTGTGGTCTCAGCATACCAGCAGTCTAAGCTATTTAAGACTAATTTTGCAGTAGTCCCCATAGCGCCCAGATATGGAGTGGATGTGGAGCATCATTTCCCTGTATACAATTATATGAAAAAAAGAGTCCCTACCCCATTTCCTTAGATTATTAGGTTGAAATATCATGAAGACTTGACACAGTCCAGCATGCCAGTCTAAAGGAGACTATTTTAATTTTTGGGTGCATGCTTATATTTTTAAGTTTGTTACGCAAACATGTAATTACCACGTCTTAATTTAAAAGTGCTATTGCAGATAAAAAAAGTATGGCCTTACATGCTACATGAGGATGCTTCTTGGGGAAATCCTTGCCGGTCATCAATCCTATCATGCAGGGAAAAATGCCTATGTGTTTTAGCTGACAAAAGTCATCAAATACATAAGGAAAAGAATAGTAGGTAAAAGTGTTCTGGCTGCCCAGTGTGGAAGTTAACACAGTCCCTGGCTGCTGTATGCTTAGCTCTAGCTCATGAAAAGGAGGATATGACTGTCCATACAAATATGGAGTTTATTTAGAATAGGAACAAAGAGTTCATTTCTTGGGCAGCAACTTGACTATTAAAGCTACCGATGACTGTTACAGCAACTGCACTGTATGCAATCACTATCCAGTGCAAAGTGAGTCTATCAATATGGCCTCTGAACTCAATATTCTTAATAATTGTATACCGTTTCCTGCTCCCCATATTCACTGTTTCTTTTAAGATAGTCTAATCGGTTCTTGCACTGGTGAAGAGCTGGTGTTACACACGCTCAACTGCTTAGAGAACCAGTTACAACACAGAACAAAGGAAACTAGACCTCGGCTTATGCCACTTTTGGCCTCTCCCAATGTCTCCACAGTGTAAGCAATCAATGCCAAAGCCCTCCACACTTTCTGAGGGCAGACCATTGAGAGGACAGAATACCCAAATATTAGTGAAAGATTTTAGGCAAATAGTTTATTTGCCAAAAATGCAGTTTTGGTCAACCCAAAACTATTTGCCAATTTGGCAGGCATTTGCTCAATACTTTCAGCCATTGGTGTCTAAATGCTGAAGACAAACACATTCACAAAATAGGGGGATAAGGAAGAGGAGAAAAGGAGGAGGAAGAGGTAGCCCTGGATTCTCATATGAGTACCCACTTTCTCAAAGAAAAGGATTTTATCTGAACCTCCCACCTATCTCTAAGAAGAATGCCATAACCACAGTTATGACAAGAGTTTTTGAGTCACCAAAAACTTTCAAAGTTTTAAGCTTTAGTTCAATCAAAACTCAATTTTATCATCAAGTTTTCAGTACTGCCAGAGAACTTAAAAAATCATTTGTCAAGTTCCAGGCCTCAGTTGCACCATCTCAGATCTTGGAATTTCATCTTGTGACATCGCAAATGCCATACTCATTTCCATTTAATTCATGGACTAATTGCTGAAAAGGGTATACAGATTACTTTTACAAGCAACTATGGGGTACTATATGAATTAATGTTGGATGGTAGAGCTATGGATAGAAGATATTTGAACAGAGATGGGGAAATTAGTACATTTAGGATTATTCCAATAAGCAAAAGGGGAAAGAAAATAACTGTGAACATTTAAATGGACCAGTGGATGTTTAATTATGACAAAAAAAAGCTTCTATTTAAGAACAGAAAAGAGGACAGCAAAAAAGACAGACCGACTAAAACAAAAAAAAGAAAATAAGCAAAGGTGAAAAAAGGGAAAACTAAAGAGATGTGTATCATCTTGCTGATAATTTTGTATCTTCACTTTTTTTGCTTATCTTTTATAGTGGTGGTTATTTTACATTCTTATTGGCCTACTCACAACAACACAATCAGTTCTTTATGCTTCCTTACTCTCTCTACAGAAAGATCTACTGATTGAAAGATGTTCTGTGTTATAAATGGAGTATGACTTAAAGGAGCTTTGGCCAACTAGATATTCTTTAGGCGAAAGCATAGCTTAAGGACTGAAAAACAATATTGCCATGAAGGACTCTAAATGAAATAACACCAAAACAGTTTAAATTTAATGTCAAATCCAAGGCTCTAATATGTAGGTGAAATTCTAACCAGCCTGGAGAGTCAGTATCATACTAACCTGTCAGCAAGGAAGTGGCCAGGTGGATCTTCAAAGTTTTTAGAGCCTTCATAATGTTCATAATGCCTAGAAGCAAAAAATAAAGTAAATTATATATATGAAATAAGTAATATCAAGTCCTAATTGTGAAGAGATGGGAAAATAAAAGTACAAACAACAGATCCCTAAACATGCATAGTATATTGAAATTCTAGGAAGCACAGCTTTTGTTTTGGTTAGAAAAGAAGTTTCATAATAGAGATAGCTTTCAAAGATCTTTTATGAAGTCAGACTAACCCACCATCCATAAATGAAAATATCAAACACTGACACCAGACCCCTAGCTTTAGAGGAATAATGTATAACTAGAGTATGAACACAGATTTTTAGGGTAGGGACCATGTCGTCATACATATTTGTATAGTGCAATGAAGCTATCATTCCAATTGGACCTGAAATATTGTTGTTAATGCATTTCAAGTCCCAGTTGAGCAAATCCATTTGCATATGCCTCAGACCAACCCTATTTGGCAAATTCTTAAGGTCACACACAAAAGAAAAATATTTGTTTATGATATTTTAGTGAGTGACATTTGTGTTACTTGTAACACTGGTAGGTAAAACATTTTCAAAAAGGAATGTTATTTATAAGTTAATGAGTGTTGTTTCATCCCACTCTCTTTACTTTTTAAAAGAGACACTTTACCTCAAAGCTCAGTGGGATGATGAGATATACAGGGTATCGCTCTGTACAAGTAAGACCAAAAGGCTCTTATGTTTGACTAAGGTAAGAAATGTGTATTGGTAGTGCAATGAGACATAGGTTTAGGGTGGGGTACCTTATGCCTGGGGGGGGGCCAGTTTGCTTACATCTGGCCCCCAAGGTTTGGGGCTGACCCCGCACTGGTGCTCCAGCCCCTTTGCCATCCTCCAGGGGCCTAAAGCACACAGAGTCTACTAAGTCCGGGCCCTCTTAAGCTCTGATATATGGGGGGAATGTAGAGAATGTTTTTTCTCCAGTCGAGGGGCACGCCAGTGAGGGATTGTGGCCCCCAACCCATAAAAGGTTCTCCGTTTCTGATTTAGGATGTTGAAAAATGCACTCTGCTTAGTGATTTCATGTCTGACTTTTCCCTTGATACATATATCAACATAAATTTAACAGTAAACTTTTAATATGCACATATTTCACGACACCTGATTGTCTTTGAAAATACACTTTTTAAAAATAAATGCATCTCTCCCATTTTGAGTGCAGACCTTCGGTATTGGGGTATCTGCACTGGTATCTCCTGTTCTCTCTCCGCCCGCCGCTTCTGCTCCTCCGCCTCCGCCCGCCGCTTCTGCTCCTCCGCCTCCGCCCGCCGCTTCTGCTCCTCGGCATACTGTTGTTCCTTTTCTTTTCGCTCCCTTTCAAGCTTTAGTTCTTGGGCTTTCCTTTGTTGCTCCAAATGAAGGGCTTCTTCCTCTTGACGTCTTCTTTCCTCCTGGAGTCTCTTCCTTCCCATTTCTCTCTCTTCCTCATTCTGCTGTTCACCCCACTCATGTCTTCTGTCTCCTTCAGAAACATCAGTGTCTTCTCTCATGTGTGATCTCCAACTAGATATAGGTGGTGCATGTGCAGTTACAGATATTATGTTTGAGGTTAGGACACTTGTCTCCTACAGGAGAAGAAAATAGGTTAAGAAACATTATAGTGCAGGCCACCTATTAGGAAACAGTCTGTTTTGTTACCAGGAACTTGAAGGGAAGGATCTCAGGGGACTCTCAGTAGCAAGGAAGAATGTGCTTTTTACTTTAGGCTTTAGGGATACCTTAAAACACAAGCTACTAAGGTGAGAAACTCCATTCTGTTTGCTAACCTTGATTATTCCTTTGCCTTGTTTTTCTGAAAGCGTCCGCAGCTTTTATTTTTTAAACTACCTTTATGCATGGAACACCCAATCTATACTTATGCTTCAACCCATCACACTGCCTCTTAAACTCCTATGAAAAATTTAAGAACATTAGACAGGCCATAGTAGGTTGGATCAATGATCCATCCATCCCAGCATCCAATTCTCAAACAGTGGCCAATGTCTGGTACTATGGAGGGAATGAACAGAGCAGGTAATTGAGTGATTCTTTGTGTCATTCACTAGCTATCATTTCTGACATTCTATTTTATTTGCATTCCTATGAAAAAGCTCTTTGAATAGCTTGTTTACATGTAGGAAATAAAAATCCCTTTCAAATGAAGGAATAATGTCAGCCCAGATCACAAACCCAGCACTTATGGTTTAAAACAAAATATCCTTGATGGGCTTCATAGTGAAAGCTTTAACAGCTTAACTGAGGAACATAAGCCTTTCTGTTTAAGTTATACAAACTTTAGATTTGTTTTGCGTTCCTGTTTATCACTGTATAAGCATTAATACGCTTGTTGGTACATCTGAAGGAGGATGAAATGCTCCTTTATCTGATACAAGAGCAAAGAGCAATGAATATAGGCTGTCCAGCTGTAGAACAGACTATAGCTGCAGAACTAAACATCTAAAGAAACTAGACACACTTAACATTCTGATATATAGCGAAGCTGATATTCATCAACAAGGCTGCAGTTTATTTAGAAAATTCTTAAGAGGCAGGCTAGCTCAGACTTAACACTACAATTTATCAAGGTACTTAAGCACATGCATTAATTTGAGCATGGGATAGTCCTAGTGGCTTCAATGGGACTAGTCATAAGTGGGCTTATGCTTGAGTACCATGCTGAATCAGGGGCAAGGATAGCCATTTTCACTCTGGTCTCAGTGATATTATGTAAGTTAGTAACCCATTTATAAAACAAATAATTTCTTGTGTTCATACATCTTATGTTGTCCTATCTTGCATGAGTGTAAATCCAACTGAACACAAAAGCCAGCCAACAACCTTTCAGATAAATATTTTTATTTTAGGACTATTCATTCTCTGCATTGGGCAAATGAGAAAACAAAGTCATTATGTCACTATTCAATAAAGGAATAATGAAAAATGTGAAAGTGAACAAATATTCATAACCTACCTCATCTAAATATTTGGAACTCTCTCTTTCCGCTTCTTGCTGAGCACGGAGCCATTCTTCCCTCAATTGTTCCTGTTCACGTTTGTATTTCTCCTGGCATGAAGAGCATGAATTATATGTAATGTAAGTAAAAGCTCCAGGAAAACATGACCTCCTGTATCTGTATTTTAATATTTGTTTTAAAAATAACCTCTTGAAAAGCAGTACATCAAGTATAAGAACATAAGCAGCACAGAATTCTAATAGATTGCAAGAGGTGAAATCCTTACTCTAATGAAGTCAAAAGGGAATTTTACCATTGACTTCAGAAAATCAGAATTTTACCCCAGACTTAGAAGATTCACCAATCTATTACATTTCTTATCTTAATTTTGGTTTAGCTATGAAGTTACTTTTGTTAAGCTAGAGTAATATCAATCTTAACTATTTATAAAGAGAATAAAAACTTTAGACTTGGTAACAAATTAGTAATTAGGTTCCTTAAAGATGACCTCTAAATTAAGTCTGAGCAACAGTTTAATTTGCTTTGAATAAGAACCTGAACTTTTGGATTCTTGTCTAATCCAAGAGTCAACCTTAGAGTATCTCTTGGATTTTCTTATCACTGGTTTTCTGTGTGATGAAATATCATACTAAGTCATATACAGAACAGATTACAGAAGTTGGTGATTTTGTCTTTTGCCATTCAGGTCTGCAGAATAGCAGATCTGTAGGAACTTCCTGAAAAAATATATTTTTTCATGGTAGATGAACTATCCAATACAAAAAAATTCCTGAGTCCGAAAATATTATTCTGCAGGTGAAACAAGATTCCTGGCTTCCAGACTCCCATTCATTTGAAAAATAAATTGTCCATAGTGTAGCAGAGAGAGATAGCATTGGGATTTTGAGCTAGATTGCTTTTCCCAAGAAAAAGGTACACAGAAGCAAATGGAGAATGATTTTTGTATGTAACTCTCTAAAGAGAAATATTCCATGTTTCACATTCTTGCAGGCCAACCCTCCAAATTTTTCCTAGGCTGTGACTGTTAATCACTAATTATATGCAGACTAGTTGCAGTCATGTCCATTCCAGGACATTAGACATGCATGTTAGTGCAGTAATCATTTATTGGACCAACTTACCTCACCCACCTTGTGTCTGATTATTAGTTATTACAGGCTGAACCTCTAAAATTCAGGACTCTCTGGTCCAGCAACATCCATGGTCCAACAGTTCCATGGATATAGCTGGACCAGCAAGCCCTAGCTAAACAGGTTCAGGAGCCTAGCACCAGTGAGGGCCGGCAGCCAGGAGTGTAGCCTGGGCTGGCAACTGGGAGCAGAGCCCAATGGCCAGGGCTGGCACCTAGGAGGAGGGCCAACAGCCAGAGGATAGCCTGGACTTCCTCTGGTCTAGCAAACTCCATGGTTTGGGATTGCTCTGGTCCTAAGGATGCCAGACCGGGGAGGTCCTACATGTATTACAACTTCAGTAGCACACACAATGCTATTAATACACTTTAGGAGATCCAGGTCTTGCCTTGGAAAAATGAATGGTAGGAAATATATTGACACATAAATACAATGTTTTGTTCTCATGCTGGGTTCATCATCACCCTTAACAGAGCTTCTGCAGGGTAAATTATATTCAATGATACCTGAGAAATCCAATAGTCTTTGTATGGTTCATTAATTTGCACATGTTACTCAGGATAGAATTTGAAGATAATGAGGTTGTATATGTTTATTGAGAGCAAGGTCTCGATCTAGCAAAGCACTTAAACACACCACTAAACTTTAAGCAGAAGTAGTGCCATTCAGTTAATTTCACTTGGACTACTCACATTCTAAGTGCATTACTAGAGCGAAGGCTATAATTTTCCCTGAAGAATCTCTCTTAAATAGCAATGTACGAAGATGGAAAAATTCCAGCTTGATGCCAAAGACAGGCTGGGTTTGCGGGACTAGCAATGAGAAAAACACATGTATTTTACTCATTCACAGAGCTATCTAGAAATTCAAGTTAACGTGAACATGAAATTTCATGTCATTTTTAGAAAATCTCTTTGAACGGGAGGAACAAATATATCCACCGACTGATAGGAAAAGGGGACAACTGTTCTGTGGCCCAACAATTCAAAAGGCCCAGTCAGAGCCCCAAGTCCTTTAAATCATTACCAGAGCTCTGATTGGCACCAAGAGCTAGCTGGGAGTGGGATGTGGCATGGTGTGCTACCGGCAGCACAGAGCTGCCCTCCCACCTTGGCCAAGGGCCCAGCAAATCTCTTTATTAACAGCTTTTTGTGGCCCTAAATATTTAACACTCTCTAGAGCTGACCAAAAAGAACATGAACCCTATTTTCTCCTTTTTCAGAGAGAGCGCTCAGAACCGCCAAGTCACTCTATTCTCTAAGCCTCATCTATACACTCATGAAAGAATGATCCACTCCTTTCCTGAAATATTGGGCTGTGAGATACCAAGTTATCACAGGTGCATAATTCCCACTACAAACCATTGTTGGAAACATTACTACAATGGTAACTGACTTCTTTGTGGTAATACATTTTACTATCCTAGTCCACATTATGAATTACATCCCATTGCTTAATTATCTATTGTGACTGACATTCAGGAAAACTGGAAGTAAAGGGGGTCACAGTGTAAAATTTAAACAAAATTTATAAAGACTAAAATCATGTATATTCCATACACAGCATTTATATTTAATTTTTAGTTTGGCAAACTACAAAAATATATGAACTGCTCTTACAATGAGCCTTCTTGAAAGAAAATTCTATCCCTACTGATATGTTTTAAACAAATCATTCTGAAATCATTTGGCTGGTTTATAGGTCTGTAAGTAGAACTGGTTGAAACACCATTTTTCTCAAGCAAAAATTATGAACTTTTCATTCCAATATGTTTACTTGAATTTTTGCAGGGAAGTTCAAAACCAAATGTATATCACATCAACATATTGCAATTCACTTTTTAAAATAGAATATTTTGATTTTCAGTTTGGGAATTTCTACTGAATCTTCTAATCTGCCCCACCCTCCCTTCCCTCCTTTTTGCTATTGATAGCAATAAACCCCCTGGATGATTTTATTTTGTTTCCCCTTTTCCCCTTCTTTTTCCACTCTAAATTTCCTCTCTCAAAATTGGAAAAGTTGCAAAAGTGCCAAAAGGAAAAATGAAATTTAACTCTGCCATTGTCTAATGTTTCCAGAATTTGATAGGTTTTGAAAAATAGCCCATCCAAAGTTCAATAATAAAAGTTAACAGTGAGGAGTCCTGTGGCACCTTAAAGAGTAACAGACTTATTTGTGCATAAGCTTTCACGGGTAAAAAACAGTTCATGTATTTGATGCAGTGGTTTTTACTCATGAAAGCTTATTCCCAAATAAGGCTGTTAGGGTATGTCTACACTACCCCGCTAGTTCAAACTAGCGGGGTAATGTAGGCATACCGCACTTGCAAATGAAGCCCGGGATTTGAATTTCCCGGGCTTCATTTGCATAAACTGGGCGCCGCCATTTTTAAATCCCTGCTCGTTCGAACCCCGTGCCGCGCGGCTACACGCGGCACGAACTAGGTAGTTCGGACTAGGCTTCCTAGTCCGAACTATCGTTACTCCTCATTCCACGAGGAGTAACAGTAGTTCGAGTAACGGTAGTTCGGACTAGGAAGCCTAGTCCGAACTACCTAGTTCGTGCCGCGTGTAGCCGCGCGGCACAGGGTTCGAACGAGCAGGGACTTTAAAATGGCGGTGCCCATTTTATGCAAATGAAGCTCGGGAAATTCAAATCCCGGGCTTCATTTGCAAGTGCGGTATGCCTACATTACCCTCCTAGTTCGAACTAGGAGGGACGGTAGTTCGGACTAGGAAGCCTAGTCCGAACTACCTAGTTCGTGCCGCGTGTAGCCGCGCGGCACAGGGTTCGAACGAGCAGGGACTTTAAAATGGCGGTGCCCATTTTATGCAAATGAAGCTCGGGAAATTCAAATCCCGGGCTTCATTTGCAAGTGCGGTATGCCTACATTACCCTCCTAGTTCGAACTAGGAGGGTAGTGTAGACATACCCTTAGCCTGTAAGATGCAATAGGACTCTTCTTTGTTTTTGCAGATAGTTAACAATTCTAACCATGTTAGTCTATGTACAGTAAAACTCCCATGGTCCGGCATGTGATGGTCCGGCATCATCAGGAACCCGGAAGTGTTCCGGACAGCTGGACCATTGGAGCTGCTCTGCCCCCAGCGTCCCCGATTCAGCAACTGCTAAAACCGACCAGCGCTGAATCCGGGAAGCAGAGGGCAGAACAGCTGGAGTGCTGTCGGGTAGGTCCAGTAGCG